CATGTTGACCAGGATGGTCTCGATCTCTTGACCTCGTGATCCACCCGCCTCGGCCTCCCAAAGTGCTGGGATTACAGGCTTGAGCCACCGCGCCCGGCCTCATTTAGTAAATTCTTACTGAGCACTTACATTTGTGTATCACAATCAAGAGGTTCCCAGCTTGGTGGAACTTTCAAAGACAAGGCAGTTTTTCATGCTGACAAGTAGCACAGTGGCTAGCCCAAATTCCCCTCCCTGTCCCAGCTACCTCCTGTAGAGACCATTCATGATCACTTACGTCAGCCCATCATGTGACCTAAGTAAAGACAGGCAGAACAAATCGTTTCTTCTTCCTACTAACATGGAACATCATTCTGTCAAGTTGCTCTCACTGGAGGCTCCCAACTGCTTTAAGCTGCGCAGTGATATTTGTATTTCTAAAATGGGCAGGCATAGCCATTCCAGAAACATATTCAGACTTGTGCCTTTTGTTACCCAAATATATGATATTCAAACAATTTCCATTTAACTCATTAAACAATTGTTTAAGATCAAATAATTGTTTTCTTGAAACAATTCTTAATCACGTAATAAATCATTTATTTGTAAATCAATACAATTATTTGTAAATCAAAATCTGTACTATTCAGAACCTAAGAATTTAGACAATTTTAATAACCCGTAAACATGTTGATTCCATTTGCAGATTTAAATTTTGTATAAATAGCACTCATTGCATACATATATCTTATGTGTACTTTGTTTATAATCACATTTATGCTACACTCCTCAGGAAAAAAAAAACAGGTAAGGCTTTGAGGAACTCCAAAGGTAAAGTACTAATCCCTTTGGCCATTTGTTTCCTAAGTCTGTGTGTGTGTGTGCGCGTGTGTGTGTGTGTGTGTGTAAGCAACAATGTAACAATGTACCATTAGTAAAGCTGCTGTGCAAATTATCCCTCAGGCCTATTCTAAGCTTACAGTTTAGCTGATTTTATTGTAAGTATATACAATTCACATATGGGAGAAAAACACGAAACCAAGATAGTTATTTTCACTATTTTGCTTAAGATTCATTTTTAAATATAAATCGAGAAGTTAATCTACACAGTTGGAGAGATACTTTTGACATTAGAAATTTTTTTAAAATTTTAAACTGATACATAATTGTAAATATGGTGTGTGTACTGTTTCACGTACAATGTGTATCTATCAAATCAGTGTAATTAGCACACTCATCAGCTCAAACATTTATCATTTATTTGTAGCAAGAACATTCAATAATTAACTGTAGTCACCCTACTGTGACTACAGACATCAGAACTTATTCCTCCTAATTTAACTTTGTACCCATTAAAAGTGGTTTTCTACAAATACTAGACAGATGTTCTACCCATACGTTGTTTTCCAAAATTATTGTTTGGCTTTTTTAAAAAAAACCACACAACAAATTTTAAAAGGCACTGAGATACATCTGCTTCTAGATCATTGCTGGCTTGAAAAATAAAGCTTGTTCTACCAGGAATCACAAGTTAGAACTGAGTATTTGCCAAAGTAGAAATTATATAGCATCATTTCAGGCGAAGGTTTTTCAGCTCTCCTTCCCAGCTATCTGTCAGAACAGTAAAACCAGGTCAAAACAGTCCAGCATAACCAGTCTTCATTACATAAGGCCGTTTTGTTCTAAGATGCTAATAAACCAAAACGAGAAATATTAAACTGAAAATATATTATCTGAGCTATTTTCATACAAACTGTTGGTTCCTTATATCCTCCCTTCTATAACAATAAAGGGCATATTTTACTGCAAAGAAAATTTTATGTCTATCACTAGCCATAAATTTTTGAATTTTGTCATTAGTTATTACATAAATGTTGCCTAGTATCGCTAACCAAATGGCATAACCATTTTATGTCCACATTTCACATCTGCATTTACAAACAGAATTTTCATGATTTACATAAAAATATCAGTGAAGAGTTAACAATGAGATGCAATCTAACATCCATATTATCTGATGTTTTGTAGACAGCAATGTATGTGATTTTTTTAATCACCTTTCATTTGAGTGACCTTACATAAAAAATAAATCAATAATTTAGAGGTTTTAAGTCTCCAAAAGAGATTTTCAAATGTACATGTATTAGTGGTTATAGATGAGATTCTCAGGAAACCTCTTCCATGTCTGCGTCCTGTTGTAACTGTTGAATCATCTTTGCGTCCAGCTGCTTTCCTCTGCCTGCAAGAGGGGTCAAGATAAGACGAGTTTTGCCTGACTTCTTTGATGTCCGGAACTTTCTGTAGTCCTTTATTTTTCTTCAATTTGTTCATTATAAATTGAGTTTGGCATTTGTTTGATCTTTTCAGCTGTCTTCATTGCGTCAGTAGTTTTATTCCATAGTTCTTGCTAGTATTTGACAGGTTCATTTCTATATTTTTCAAATTCAAATGAATTATCCACTGTAAGCTCATTATTACCAGTTGCTTTACAGAATGCTTTAGTCCACCTAACCTTTCAAGAATTGCACTTCTTTTTAAAGTTTTTATGACATTTGGATTCACACAGTCTGAACACCTTGCAATAGCTGCAGATGAACACCGTGATGTGGCCAGGGTAGACCGGCCCCAAGAGACACTGACGCTTCTCAGTACGCGTGCTGAGCTCACATGGGCCTCCACTGACCAAACGTGGAGCTAGAGAGGAAGGCAAGAGGTATCTTGGAATTCCACATTCTGACCTTGTCATTCTTGAAGGAAAATGATGCATAATTTCTGGATAGTTCAGGAAAAACTTGCAATCTTTCCAGTTAGTTTTTAAATGAACAATTCTGTTTATCAAATTTCTGAATTAACCTTTCTGAATTCACAGGTTTCCGAAACGGGCCTTAAGCAAAAGTCTGAAACCTAGGCTGGGCACCAAGTAACCCAGCCCAGGAAGAGACTTGAAAGTGTCCTACAGTTGTTTTTCAACTTAGGGAAACAACAGCTTCCACTAAATCCTGAAAAAGATTCTTTTGTGTGAAAAAAAGGGCCTGATATACCAGGTTAGACTTCCAAGACAATTCCACATTTTACTCAGGAGGAGGCTTTAAAAAGTTCTGTCTTACGGATAAATGGTAGCTATTTTCACTGGTAACATCATTACCCCCATCTCTTACTTCAGTTGTTTATACAAAAGAGGCTAGAGAATAAAAAGTACATTTTTACAGCCAGGTGGGGTGGCTCATGCCTATAATCCTACCTAGCACTTCAAGAGGCCAAGACAGGAGGATCCCTTGAGTCCAGGACTTCAAGACCAGCCTGGGCAACATAGAGAGGTCCTGTCTCTACAGTAAAATCAAGAAAAAGAAAAAGAAAAGTAGTACATTTTTACTTACATAGCACCAAATATATGGTGAAACCCTGTCTCTACTAAAAATACAAAAAAAATCAGATGGTGTGGTGTCACATGCCTATAATCCCAGCTGCTCTGGAGGCTGAGGCAAGAGAACGGCTTGAACCCGAGAGGGAGAGACTGCGAGATGGTGCCACTGCACTCCTGCCTGGGCAACAGAGTGAGGCTCCATCTCAAAAACAAAAAACAACAACAACAAAAAACCCAAATCTTTCAAACATTTTCCCTTTACATGAAAGGTATTAAATAAGTTACATTTAAATGTCCCATACACACACACACACACACACACACACACACACACACAATACTCTCATTTAAGATAGAGTAGAAATTATTTAAAATTCAGGGTTGGGGTAAAGGATGAGCTATTCAATTCAAATTACATTAAAACCCAAATATAAAATAGACACAGAAGTGAAATTTTCTTCAAAGTAAGTATTTACTATTTCACTACCAAAGTAGGTAAGTTATACTAAAGAGAAGAAATCCACATGGATTGAGGCATTTTCTCACTTTGATACATGTAAATAAATTTCATGTTGTCTGAATTCTTAGGGTTAATTAGTTAGAAATGTAATTCTCTTATACACAGGGCAACTAGGGGAAATAAGTTAGCACAATCATTTGAATTGGTTGTCTGCATACCGGGCAGGGCTTATTCCTTCTCTTTAGCTTCTTTGCACATGTAAAGCAGGCCATAAGATGTCCTGTTTTGCCATGGACAATGCAACCATTTTTAGGTCGACCTTGACAAGTCACACAAGGTTCAATGGCATTAAGGGGCAAACTAGATTCCATACTTTCTTCTTTGTCTTGTGTTTCTTCCCTTTCAAACTCTTTCGCATCTTCTTGGCTGCTATAAATATGCTACAGAAGATGACGGCTGAGAATAGTCCTCCCTTTCTTGTGATTGTGAGACTTGTGTAATTTTATCATCGTTTTCCTCAACACACGACTCTTTGAAATCATTCACTGTAGTGTGTTTACAATCAGGAACATCAAAGCCCTCTTCAGCTTGTGTTGAGCTTTCCAGTTTGGCTTTCTCAGAGATTTCCCCTTTATCTTCAGGAAGCCAATTCTCACCAAGGGCCCAACATCTGTTACAACGTGACAGAAGTGTGGGATTCATTTCATTGCATGAGTGCATTTCCAATAGTCCTTCAATGAAATAAGACATACAGTCAGTTTCTGTAACCCTTCAACTACTAGTCACAGAAAGGCTAGCAACTTTGCTATGTCTAAGGTAAAATATATCACACAGCTCATTATTCAGTGTTTCATGTTTTATATAAAATAGTCACCATGTACAGCATGAGGACTATAGTTAGTAATACATCGATATACTGGATATTTACTAAGAAGGTAAATTTTTGGTATTTTTACCATACACACAAGAAACGTAACTATTCAAGATAATGGATTACATTAATTTGCTTGACTGTAGTGATCATTTCATTATTAACATGTGTGTCAAAACATCATGTTATATGTCTCAATTAACAGTCTCTCCTAAAGTAAAGAGTAAGCACACCCATTTTGTTCACCCATACCATCCGCATCCTATAAAATTCGAAACTAAAAATGTATTCACTGTGATATTAGTCATGTACCTATAAAGTTATCTGTTTCAGGATACAATTACAGTTGTCTTCTTTAGTTGAAGCACGTCTATGGGATCTTTGACTCTGTAATGCCGCCTATACCCACTCCCTTAAACGCTCAATCCTAGATGCTATTCCGAGAGTCCATCCAATCAATCTGGATGAAACCTGCCTCCTAGAGAAAGACTTCCTAATCCACCAGTGACTAGAACTACCTTAGACGTGCTCTAAAACCATGGCTCAACTGAGTATTCCCTAACTCCATCCACAAGAGAAATGCTAAAACATTTTCACAGCGAGTATTGCCGCTAAAATCTGTCATCCTTGGTCACTAACCATAGCATATGCCCTTTACTTGTCTATCCTTTCCTGTGTTCTCATCTCCGTAACTGCTCAATGCTTCTTTGTTTTCCCAACGTTTTTTCCCGAAAAGCTTTCCACCATGCAATAACAAATTCTCCCACATCCTCAGCCTTTTTATGTAACCTATCTTCTTGCCTTAAGGGAAGCATGGTTCTTGCCTGAGGACATGTTACAAGTGAAAACTCATAAGAAAGAGGTCTTTCCATAACTGATTGCCTCACAAATGACATAACACAGGAGCAATAAGGATAGAGACCATTCATTCTTCCACATTGGTTTTATCAAGTTATAGAAGGGGGTTTTCACAGCTCATAAAACCAAAAAAAAAGTTCTTAAAATATGGAAGTAAAAGGGCATCAAAAAGTCTAATACATTGCAAGATCAATATCTAAAATAATTTTAATGGGTCTTCAAATAGATTAAAAAAATAAAAAATATCTAAAATATTTTAGGTAACAACATCAAATGATTCAACTAGTTATTTAATTTATTTTCTAATACAGTAAAAATTTTGGAAACTTATACTTTCATCTTTTTTGCATTTGGATAATTAATAACTGTTTATACCTCAGACAAAAATAAAATTTATTTCCTATTCAACTATAATAAAGGCAATATTAAGAACAAAAATGGCAAATCTGGGGCTGGGCATGGTGGCTCATGCCTGTAATCCCAGCACTTTGGGAGGCTGAGGTGGGCAGATCACCAGGTCAAGAGGTTGAGACCATCCTGGCCAACATGGTGAAACCCCGTTTCTACTAAAAATACGAAAAAAAAAATTAGCTGGGCATGGTGGTCTGTGCCTATAGTCCTAGCTACTTGGGAGGCTGAGGCAGGAGAATCGCTTGAACCTGGGAGGCAGAGGTTGCAATGAGCCAAGATCACACCACTGCACTCCAGCCTGGGCAACAGACAAGACTCTGCCACCAAAAAAAAAAAGCAAATCCTACCACATTCTATAATAATAAAAATGTGTTTACAATTGGTTGGGCATGATGGCTCACCCCTGTAATTCTGGCACTTTGGGAGACTGAGGCAGGTGCATCACTTGAGCCCAGGAGTTCGAGACCATCCTGGGCAACCTGGTGACATCGCTACAAAGAAAACACAAATCTTCACTGGGTGTGATGGCATGCACCTGTAGTCCCACCTACTCAGGAGGCTGAGGTGGGAGAATCACTTAGCCTGAGAGGTGGAGGCTGCAGTGAGCCATGATCATGTCACTGCACTCCAGTCTAGATGACAGAGTGGGACCCTATCTCAATTTTTAAAAAAACAACAGAATTTACATTTGACAAGACTGCCAAAATGTTGGTAATAGTTAAAGCTGGGTGATGAGTATACTGAAGAAATATTGAAATTTTCCGAAATAACATCAAAAAGCACAAATGCAGCTGAGTGCAGTGGCTCATGCCTGTAATCTCAGCACTTTGAGAGGCCAAGGTGGGCAGATTACTTGAAGCCAGGAGTTCAAGGCCAGGCTGGCCAACATAGTGAAACCCCTTCTCTACTAAAAATACAAAAATTAGCTGGGCATGGTGGTGCACACCTATAATCCTAGCTACTCGGGAGGCTCAGGCACAAGAATCACTTGAAACCTGGGAACTGGAGGCTGCAGTGCACCGAGATTGCACCACCACATTCCAGCATGGGAGACAGAGTAAGACCCTGTTTCAAAAAACAAACAAACAAAAAAGTTCAAATTCTAGCACCTAAAAATAAAAATTATAGCTACAGGTCTCATCACAACAAATAAAAGAAAAATGCTTTAAGTTATTCAGACTTTACAAAAACATTTTAACTTTATAAAAATCAGCTCATTTCAGAAAGTAAGATAGACATATTTTCCTAATGTCTACCTTAATACATTTCCTAATGACCTTAATGTAATTTTTTGATTTCTTAAAAAAGTTGATATATACTTACAGCTAAGGAAATTTCAGGATCTTCTTCAAATGAAACTGCATCACTCTCCCCTGCCTAATACACAGTAACTCTATAATACACAGTAACTTGATATACCTAACAAAACAAATTCATTAGCATGAATTGATCACCTTTTTCCTTCAACCAGAAGCCTTTCTAGTAATTCTAGCCTAAACAAATATCATCTACTTCAATACACAAGAAAGTCTTAGATGACATCAAATAGAGTGAGTTTAACGGGGGAAAAAACGTCAGAGAGAGAAATCCTCACCCACAATGGGAAAAGTCAACACAAAGGATGTTTAGGATGAATAACACAAAACATTCAGCTCAGTGGTTTTATTTTATAAATAAATAATATGGAGACATTAAATAACAGGAAAATGGCTAGAAATACTGAAGGCAGCCACTTCTGGGAAACAGGTCTCTGCGGGCACTATTTAACTGTACGCATGTTTTACTTTTATAAAAAGCAAGTTAATATTAAAACAGTAATTGAATTAAATGTTTTTAAATGTGAACAGACCATTATAATAAGCATGTTCATTAAGGCCTATTGACTTCTTGGCATTAGTAGTAACATAAGAATATAAATCAAGTGATAAAGAACTATGAAATCCTCAAGTCCACAAACTAATAACGTTAGTCTGAACAAATCAAGAGGCTAGGATTTCAAATGAAATCTGAATATATTATGATTTCATTCTCAAAGTCAATGAACATGGAAAATATTTAATAATTTTCCAACATAATTAGAGGGGGGAAGAAATACTACCTCATCATCTTCATCTGAGAGTTCTTGTCCTTCTTCACTAGGGCTATAATCTTCTGAGTCGAGAGATTCAACTTCAAATTCTGCACTAAACTGATCTGAAACTGAATCCTGATCCAACCAATCACCTGAATGTTCACTTACACCAGCATTAAGATCCTAAAATAAGAAAAAAATATATAACTTAATAAACACCACCTCTTGGCCTCTGTAACAGTTTCCTAACTTATCCCTATGCCTCTATTTCCTCCTCAGATGCATCCTGCCCACTGACAATAGATTAACGTTTCAAGGTTATTTCTACATTACTTTCCCTGTGCAAAATTCAACTGCATAAAGGGAAAAAACCAAAGCCTCTTGGCACTGAAGGTACAGACAGTGTGACTATATTAACATCCTCGTCTGTCTTCAACTAGACATCCCTCCTCCCTGACTAAATATGGACAATCCCACCAGATCTAGATGCTTCCTCAACTAATCTCGGCATTTTGACTTCCACACTTTCCCCTCACTAGAATAATTTCACACTTTCAAAATCCTATTCATCCTTCTTTTACTAAGCCTTTGTCAATACCATAACTGAAAAGGCCATAGTCTCACACATAAATTATGCAAAACATAATTTTGCAGGGATGTTTCTCTTCTGAATTATATATACTTTTGAGCTAAGACCTGTCTTACTCATCTTTATATATCCACATTGGTAGAATGCAAGTAACAAGAATACAACACTTACGATACTTATGGGGTTTTTTCTTAGAAAAATGTCTTGAGTCATACATTTTTTTAATAAACATTGAGATTTCCTTTTAAAGAGCCTTTAGGCAATTTTTTAAAAAATCTGTAGCTGCTTATCTGATACCTCGTTTCAAGTCTTTAATAAATTGTATAAGAACCTAATAAGACCTTCAGGCCCATAGTGGCTAGGGGTGGAACATATATGAAGTAGAAAGCTACAACTGGAAGAAGTCTGGCAGTCAGGATATGACTTATTCTACACTTGCCACTAAGTAACTAATTTAACACTTACACACATTTTTTAACTTTTTTTTTTTTTTTTTTTTTTTTGAGGCAGAGAATTACTCTATCGCCCAAGGTGGAATGCAGTGTCACAATCCAGGCTCACTGCAACCTCCACCTTCAGGGTTCAAGCTATTCTCCTGCCTCAGCCGCCCAAGAAGCTAGGATTACAGATGTCCACTATCACACCCGGGTAATTTTTATATTTTTAGTGGAGATGGAGTTTCACCATGTTGGCTGGGCTGCTCTTGAACTCCTGACCTCTAGTGATCTGCCTTGGCTTCCCAAAGTGCCGGGATTACAGTCATGAGCCACTGTGCCCCGCCCTTATCATTTAACTTCTGAAGGTTATAGCTACTTCATCTAGAAAAGGAGTTTAGATTAAATGACTTCCATATCTACCTCAGTTCTAAAAACAGAAACAAAGTATATCCTATTATGGCCTCTGATGTCAAAAGACTTTTGTAGAGTCATGTTAGGAAAGAGTAGTAAAAGTAACATTCATCAAGCTTCAGCTCTAATTCCTAACAAGGGCTCTGCTGCCAATCAGGTTAGAATCACAAGTCAAGTTAGGATACAATTAACATCTCTAACAAAGTAACCCAACAAACCAAATACTTTAACTAACTCAAGTCATTAGTGTGCTAATTTTAGAATAAGGGGGTACATCACAGGAAACATTAAGTCTCAGAAAACATACTCCATGGTAGGCGTCTGCACCTGTGGCCCATTACCCACCTATTTGTATAAATAAAGTTTGATTGAGCACAGCCATGCCCATGTGTTCACTTGTTGTCTGTGGATGCTCCTCCATTACAAGATTGGGGCTGAGTAGCTGTGACAGAAAACATGGCCCTGCAGAGCCCAAATATTTAACTATCTGGCTCTTTGCAGAAGGTTTGCCAACTCCTGTCCTAAGATACTACAAAAAATGCAATTAGAAGTGGTTTTCAAAAGTTTTGGCTAATGTTCACAAAAGAATGCCCCAGAAACTATTAAATACTATGTGTTTCAAAAGCATCAGGCTGGGAGTGGTGGCTCATGCCTGTCATCCCAACACTCTGGGAGCCAGTGCAGGAGGATCACTTAAGGCCAGCAGTTTCAGACCAGCCTGGGCAACAGGCTGAGACCTCACCTCTGAAAAAAAAAGTAAAAAAAAAATTAGCCAGGTGTGGTGGTGCACACCTGCAGTCCCCGCTAACTCTCAAGGCTGAGGAGAAAGGATTGCTTGAACCCGGGAGGTAGAGGTTGCAGTAAGCCATGGTCATGCCACTGCACTCCAGCCTGGGCAGCACAGTGAGACACTGTCTCAAAAAAAAAGATTTTTTTTTTCTCATTTATTTTATTGCATTTTAGGTTTTGGGGTACATGTGAAGAACATGCAAAATTGTTGCATAGGAACACACGTGGCAGTGTGATTTGCTGCCTTCCTCCCCATCACCTATATCTGGCATTTCTCCCCTTGCTATCTCTCCCCAGCTTCCCACCCCCCACCGTCCCTCCCCTATTTCACCCCAACTGACCCCAGTGTGTAGTGCTCCCCTCCCTGTGTCCATGTGTTCTCATTGTTCAACACCCGCCTATGAGTGAGAACATGCGGTGTTTGATCTTCTGCTCTTCTGTCAGTTTGCTGAGAATGATGGTTTCCAGGTTCATCCATGTCCCTACAAAGGACCCAAACTTTTTTTAAAGCATCAGATAGGTGTGCTCTGCAAAGATCTTAGATTTTTGTAGTCAGAAATACCTAGAATTATTAGAATTTCAATTGTGACAATGAGTTGCAGTAACGAGTTATTTAAAGCCTCCAGTCTTAGCCAAAAGTGGAAATTGAGGCTGCAAAGATGACAAAAGATCATAATATAAAGTGCGTGGTGTACAGTCTAGAACACAGTCTTAGTTTCCCAGTTTCTTAAACCCCAAAGAAAGAAAAGATCAGAGAGAAATGCACTTTCACAAACGGGTGAATGAAGACACCCAATGATGACTACAACTTTCTCAAATAAGAGAAACTAAAATTAAGAAGAAAAAAAAACTGGCCCTACCAAAAGCTTTCACAACTAGGGACTTAGCCTGATAAACGAGAGATTTTAATAGATAGGATTTTTTAAGAGAATGAAGGACAGGACTAACAAAAAGAAAAAAAGAAATACCGTTCTACTCCATTTTGATAATGTGGTAGGAGTTATTAAGAAATTAGTTTAGGCAAATAGAAAGGAAAAGGGGTCCTTGGTTTTTCCGCAGTTCCAAAAACATTTCTTTTCTAGGGAAAAAGTCCTGGCTCTTAGACCCGGTACCTTTAAGAAGCAAATGCAAGCCTTCAAAAACTGGGTCCACCCAACTGGACGATTCCCACCGTTGTCCTCTTGCCCTTGCCCTGACATGTGCCTAACAGCACGGCCTCCCCTACAGATCCCCACGAGTGTAAAACATCACTGGCGCCCTGTATTTGCATCTTCAAGGATTGGGGTGGGAGGGCCAGTTTTCTCGAGGGCTACATAAATAACATGCCTGGCCAAACCAATCCGCTGAACCCTATGCAATTGAGACACCGCCTCCTCCAGCCACCACAGAAAATTGGCAGGTATGCTCAGAATGTGAGGTCTCCTCCTTCGGTTTTGGAGCCCCCGCTCCCTCTGTACGGGGGAGCTTCTTCCTTCTGCCTTCTCTCTTCTTGTCTATTAAACTCTCCGCTCCGTAAAACCTCTCCACGTGTGTCCACGTTGTTTAATCTAATTCAACTCAAAGCAAAGATCTTGGTGTTCCTCCACTCATCAAAGCTGTATCAGTCACAAGGCTGTGTCCCAGGTACAAAGCAAGAACAAGGACTCTAAATATCATTCAGCTAGAATTCTGATATAACTTTAACAAAGCCTACACATTAAATGGAGCGCTGGGCTCAGTGGCTCAAATCGGTAATCCCAACACTTTGGGTGGCCAAGGCGGATGGATCTCTTGAGGTCAGGAGTTCAATACCAGCCTGGCCAACATTGTGAAACCCCATCTCTACTTAAAAAAAAAAAAAAAAAAAAAAAGCAGGGTATGGCGGTGGGCGCCTGTAATCCCAGCTACTCAGGGGACTGAGACACAAAAATCTCTCGAACCCGGGAGTCAGAAGTTGCAGTGAGCCAAGATTGCACTACTGCATTCCAGCCTGGGCGATAGAGTGAGACTCAATCTCAATAAATAAATAGAGAGTCAATCTCAATAAATAAGTAGATGGATAGATAGGTAGGTAGGTAGATAGATAGGGTAATTATCTTTTTAACCAAACTTGTAGTTTGTGTACTCAAGTTTTAAGTGGATCTAATTTTCAGATCACACATATTTGCTCTTTAGAAACTGTTTTTTATTGGATTTACTAAATGTTTTCATTTTTATCATTAACGATCTGTCTCCCATGAAGGCAAGAACCTACCTTGACTACTACTGTTAATCCAGCGCCAACTCAACTGTATGGAATCTGGTATAAATTTAAATATCTACAAATGAAGAACCAGCTCTCAGACTGAGCAGGATCCTGCCATCTAGTGGTCCACACGAGTAACAGCTCGGTTAAACACAGTGCTAACTCTAGAGGCAGGTATGCGTTCATACAGTCACTACTTTGGAAGAGAAAAATATAAAGATAAAACAGGAAGTAATAAGAATAGGTAAAAGGTAAAAGACTAGGATGACTATCAAAATTGGTTCCATCTCCTACATCTTCTAGAGAACTATGCAATGATTACTAATATCCAGAATAATAACCATGAGACACTGCCACATACCAAAAAAGGCATCCAATTTTTTGGCTTCCTGGGTCACATTGGAAGAAGAAGAATTGTCTTGGGCCAGACATAAAATACACTTAACACTAACAATAGCTGATGATGGAGGAAAAATTGTAAAAAAAAAAAATCATAATATTTTAAGAAAGTGTATGAATTTGTGTTGGGCCACATTCAAAGCCATCCTGCCATATGGCCCACAGGGCGTGGGTTGGACAAGCTTCTTTAAATACATACAAAAGAAAATATTTCATTTGTCAAGCACTCTTGTTAACAAAAAACTTTTTTACCAAAATTCTTTTAGTGACATCGCTTAAAAAATTCTGCTCGCTAATATTTTGGAATTCTGCATTAGTCATCAGAAAGTACCAATACTCTCCCATCATTCATGCAGTAATGAACCTGTATTTCACAGTATTCGTAAATAGAACTTACCTGATGTCTAGACCTATTTGCCAAATGTAAAGCTCAGACTATGCTGACTTTTTTGCTGATGGCTGCAATAAAAGGTATTTTTACTCTAAACAGTCAAGACAAATTTGCCTTAAAATGCTAAAACATTTAACTGAGCTAAATTTTTGGTTTTGCTTCTTTATTTTTTAAAAAGTACAACTTTTAATATCTAATTTCTTGCTTCATGTCTCTCTTATGTTAATCACTTGGCCTTTGCTAGTTTAATAACTAATTTCTTAACCCCTTCTCTAATATGGTTAGTAAAGCTCTGTGTTTTCATCAGGAAGCGCAGCCTGTGAATTTCTCACCTTGGGGCTTCCATTTTCCCTCCAAGTGGCTTCAGCTTTCTTTC